GAATAGACTAAAATATTAATGTAATGAAAATAAGTTTTGTTGTTGAAAGTAAATATACGGCTCAGGATGTTTCTTATACAGGAAGTGACGATGGAGAGACTACTGCTGGGAGATCCACCTACCGGAATAATTACTAGCGATATACCTGTAACCAGCGCGTGCAGTGCTCTGTCGGCGCCCTGTGTCACCTTAATCTCACACAGTATTACTACAGTTTTATTGTTTAGAGAGAAGGGAAACTGCTACTGAAAAAGTTTCAAGTGTAATATATTTTCCTTTTGAGTCTAATGTGGCTTGTATATTTTAAATATATTCTCGGTATAACAAAGGACAGATTGATACTATAGGGTTCTGACGATGGTGGATAACACACAGAGATACTGGGTTTTCGGACTTTGTCCATCGTCCGGATTCTAAATAACTAAAAACGCAACGTTTCGGAAACTGGATCTGCTTCCGTCCTCAGATGAGGAAGACACCTACTCTGTTGGGTCTCTTAGGAAGAACCAGCCTCAGTCACTGGATTGATCCAGTTTCGAAACGTTGTGATTTTAGTTATTTAGAATCCGGACGATGGACAAAGTCCGAAAGGACAGATATTTCATAATTTGCAAATTAAGAAATATTGTAGACTATAATAAAATATGTATTCTACACAGTAGTGGATAGCTACAAGCTAGGTGTGCAGAAAACATAAATCTTGAAGATCAACAATAAAGATTCGAAATAGCGGACATCATCGTCGTTATCTGCAAGGGTTGTTGACCGGTCCCTCCTTAAATATGAATACTCTTTGAAGATCATAAGTAATTTTTTCTTTTTCTTGAGCAGGTTACCAGTCTGTTGAAAACCCCCATACTTTGGAGGACCAGAGTTTTTATTCGAGATTTCATTCCCTTAGACAGGCCAACTAGTGCTTCTCTACCCGCCATGCAATCCTGGGAAGAGTCCCTTAAACAGATGCTGACAACCGGGCCAGTGGGACCTTGTAATATGCAAGCGAAAACATTCGCAGTTGTTCAGTTCCTGCTAACATATATCTCTTTAAGTCCATTTTATCATTTATCTCGAATTTTGTTAGTGTTTCATAAATTTAGGATTTTCCTATTAATAGAAGATAAATATTTATTGTTGTTATTGTTAATTATGTCCGTTTAACTTTTGAAAACTTGATAAGTGTGATTATGAAACAAAGTGTTCTAGGCCCACAGTGTGTTACCAACAAGTGTCATTGCATTATTGAGTAACTAGCTTACAGTCATCAGCTACATGGCTGAGGACAGGAAATTAATCAAACGGACATAGATAATAATACGAAACTATTAACACAGTTATTACCTCAGTGATAACCAAATGGCCACTTCACCGCTGGAGCAGTAATTACCCTTCAGCACACACATGGTCCGGACAATGAGCTATATCATCCGGGACCTGTGCACAACACGCATCGCTTGTATCGGGTGTGCTGAATCACGTGGTGTGGCAGTCGTGTTGATAACGGGGAGAGCGTTCGGAAAGCTGTAGCATGTCGAGTTAGGCATTATACCAGGTGCCTTATGGTTGCCAGAAGAGTGTTTCGTTTTTACATTTGCAACATATGCAGAACTCGGGGGGTCCAGATACGTCATTTTCCAACGCAAACTTGGATTGACAAAATGTCTTCGACGCCCCTCAAGTGTGAGGCGCTTGACAACGTCGAATCTTACTTTCTTTTAATTTTTGTGGTCACTCTCTTTCTCTCCCCCCCCCCCATGGCTCTACATACTTTTGGACATTCGTCGATTTTTCAGTCTCTTCATCCTATACACAGTCGGTAGGACTCCTTGGACTGGGGATCAACCCATCGCAAGGCCTCTGCCTACACACAGAACAACAGAAAGAGTATAAACGCACACAGACATTCATGCCTCGAGTGGGATTCGAACCCACGATCCTAGTGTTCGAGCGGGTGAAGACCGTTCATATCTTAGACCGCGCAGCCACTGTGATCGGCACGAGGTTGTCATTAGCAACGATTAATAAGGTCCAGTGTCAGCACGACTGGTGTATAATGGACTGGAACGCTCTACTAAAAACACTGCCACAGGATTTCTTTGGAGGGACTGAAGCAAACCACGAAAACCCTCAGTATCACAGTTGAGATTCGAATCGAACATCAGCCGAATACAAATGTAGAGCTATAGAAATTTTTTCCATCAGATTTCAAACAGTTTCCTTTCTTCAAGCATGTGTTACTGTTTACGGCATATTCTGTTGAGCCTGTAGCTTTAATGGTACTTAGGGCTTAGTTATTAACCGTTTCATTCATTTCGGTAAATATATGTACCAAATATTTTAACATTCTAAAAGTCCACATTTTTTCACAAAGCGCATTTATGTGTTTCCCATGAAATATGAAACATGAGCGATTAGTTGAATAAATATCATGAACTGACTGGCCTTTGTAATGAAGATGTAGTGATTGTAAGTTGTGATGTTTTCACGGCGATGACTATGAAGAAAGTCGTCTTCTGGGTTTAGGCGNGTTATTTAGATGAACTTCAGACATCAACGACACAACAAAAACTTCTCATTAGCCAAATGTTGACCATATTATCACAGTTTAAATTTAAATCCTCACAGCGGTGAATATGAAGATTACTGTATTCTGGATTATAACCCCGTGTAGTGTGGTAGAATTTCGCCTAAGTTTCGGAGGAACATACTGGCTCCATACGTATATTTAGGGTCGAACAGTAAATCAAGCAAGAGTTTTGCTTGTCTCGTTCGTCTTTCAGGTTATTTTCTTGGCTTACTCATCGAACCTAGGCAGTTGTTCCTTCGAAACGTCGGACAACTTCGGCCGAACTACACGGCCTTTCATCCCAGAAGTTTGTGTTCATGAAATTATGAGAATTTACGCTGAGGGACTTTCCATCCATGACACGCAGTTACCCTAACAAAGTAAGGTAAAGTAATGATGGAACACCTTGCTGTTTCCCCACTTTCATGTTAATTATCCCACTCAAGGCGAAGTATAATCCTCAGAACAATAGTTAGACACAAAATCATGTCTTAACAGACGTTGGTAATTGACCCAATTACGTAACACAGCACAAGTAAATGATATAACTTTATCCATCTGTGTAGCTGCAGAGTATACAAGAATTTCGAAAGCCACAATTCAATAATATTTAAACTAACACAACTGATGAATAAAACTATTCCTGTTGGATCCGAAAACGAGAACTTGAGAGCTCTAAGCAAAACTGATAATTATCATCATTATAATTACAATTACCGTAAAAAATATCTCTATGTTTTCCAAATCTGTTTTCATACAAATTACCAGAACTGTGTTCTGAATTACTCTCGTGTCGCTCCCAACTCTGAGGTCCATACGGCCGTCATTTTGGTATTTATTTTTAGCATGAAATTACATGTATAATCATGATATGACCTTTAGTGGCATGCTATACATACCCAACGTGAGCATTCTTCTATGGACTGGAACATCTACAACTGTTTCCATGTAATTACGGAAACATTATATTTGAAACCCATGAAAAATATTCCTATTTAACGAGGAAACACAATAGAACTTACCTTATCCACACTGTTATTTAGTCTTCATGGATTTTCAGTTTGTCTCCTTCTAACTAGCACGTTGTAATGGCGACACTATAAACTTGCGTTCAGCAAGAATCCGAATCGAATCTCGGACCGAGATACAGACTATTCTGAAATTTTCTATAATTTTCTCGAGCTCCCGAAAAGAATTCATCAATCGTGCATTGAAACAGACCACGGCCGACATTTTCCAGTTCCTCGCAAGGGCCTACCAATTTAATGATTATGTCTGTTGACTATCTTATGTGCTGCCATTAACAAGCGCTGTTGAAAGAGCGTCTGTGAAGAACCTCACATTCCGTCCACTCCCCCAGCATTTCTCCATTGGCTTTCTTTTTATATTGATCAGTACACTGATTCTAAATTAAGAGGCGAATGGTTGTAGACCTCATATAGCGCTGAGTGTTTTGATGAACGACAGATGCACACGAATGGCAGCACAAGGACCTCTACAGTAAGTACGAAGTACGTCGGGTGCAAGGGTTTCCTTGAAGAGCCAAGCAACACTTCCTAAATACAGTTCCCAGTTGTCATAGGACCTGAAGGTTTGTTTCCTCCATGTTTAAATCTCGTCATTTAACCTTACCCTGTGAGAAGTTGGACATTTAAACACATTTATACAGTATGTCTTTCAATATCTTCCCTGTAGGTGGCAAGTTTCCATGAAGTACAAGGTTTCCTTTACATGTGCATATTGCATGCATATTCTGCCCTAAACAATCTTTATTTATTCATTCTAATAATGCTACATGAAAAGTAAACGGGGCACGCGGTAGCGTAGTTGGTTGAGGCACTATGCTACAAACCGGAAGGTCGCGAGTTCAAGTCCCGATGAGGTCATTGGATTTTTTCAATTGACCTAATCCTTCCAACCGCAATGTGGCCCTGGGGTCGACTCAGCCTCTAACAGAAGAGTACCAGGAATATTCCTGGGGTTAAATGGCTGCCGGCGCGTAAGGCTGACAACCTTGCCGCCATCTGTGAGCCCAATGTCTAGAAAATATGGGACCTTCAGCACCTCATAACACTATGGGCCACCACGGCCTGTTACAAGGATAACTTTACTTTTTTATTTTACATGAAATTAAACACCTCGCTGTGTGCGCTGCTCCATTAATTTGTTAGTAGATCTCTCTTGTGTCCATATGTACTGCTCTCCGGCAATAGGCCTTATAAGACTAAAAACGGAACGAATCAGTATCTTGTTACGAAATAGATGAAACGAAATTCTGGTTTTCTGCCCAACTGAAAGTGAAATGGCTTCCTGCTAGCACAGTCAATCATTTTATTGATGCTCTAACAATTCGTCTCTGCATTATAGAATTATCCTAAACAAGCTTATACTTATCTTCCTTAAGAGCATCTTCATTTTGGGGTATGTTGCAGGTCTTGACGTCAGGCCCACGCATGCGTCGTAGAAACTTTGCAGCGTCGGTAGCAGAGCGTCGGAGCGCGAGAGTTCAGTGAGGCGTCGGTTGCGGGCAACCGTAGACCGCGTCTGTAAGTCAGCGTGACGTCGTCAGAATGCTGTGTACTGCCGTCACCTGACACGAACAACTTATGTGTGTGGTCCAGTCATAGTTCTTGTTACTAACGCAGAAAAGTGCAGTCACTTTCTTTTCGATGTTAATGAATGACTCCTGTTGACGCTCCACCTGTGGCCGAAATGAAGAAGCGTACGGGGAAACCTGACAATGTTATCAGCATGTTCGTAAGAAGGCAACCCGCAGGTAATTACCCCTCGAAACTGTCTCACCACCGCCAGGGTTATCACCCACCGAACTGCAGACTAAGTTTACATTGGACATGAGGTGTGATGTGAACAAGGATGCACTTTATGAACGACTATTTCATTCTATTTCCGAAACTGTCCAGTCTGTACGGTGTCGCAAAATGTGTCGTTACATATTTGTGATGAAATGTTAGAAAATAAAACTATTTAAATATGTGATGCTAGTCCATCTATTATAATCAGAGAGCTTCAAAATATTAACGCTTATTACATTGTGCATAAGAGAAGCATGAGTTTTAGTGTTATGTTCTGTGTTCAAGTTATACAGTCTGTCATAAAATAATACATCAAGATATGTGATTTCGAAAATTCACTTAAACTGAAATGCAGAAAGAGACTTCGTAAATAATGTCCTTCGCTATACTTACCTATGCTATTATCTGAATGAAGATTTGGAATTATAAAGACACAAGTTACACATGTCATCTAGAAGATAGGACTGGTGTGTTTAGTCACCTTCTGGAAGGATATCACTTGCCTGGAAGTGAGAAATATATCGTAAATTGCAGCTGCAAATTGATACTGGGAAGTGCATCGTATGCTTATTTCACAAATAAATAAGTCAAGCGTACCCGAAGGAAGTGATCAGGAAATTTTAATGACTTCTTTATTCTTCAATATCACATTCACCAATGACTCTAAAGCACGTTTACAACATGTAGCCCTGATAATACCAACAACTTACAGTTTGTAAAGGCGAACCTTGTGGTGTATCCATTTTTCATTATACTTCATGTATATAAGCACGTGGAAAATGATGTAAAGTGAAACAAGTCAAGAGTTGTTATACGTTCTTTTTAAACACGGCGTTTCCTATGTTCATCCCTACGCAGAACGCCGTCCCTACTTTCGATAATATACAGAAGTATAATGCCTTACTTTGGGCCCAGAAAGACACATTTGAAGCCAAAAGCCTATGAGAACAACACAGATGAGTTTAAGGCTGGAGTAATTTCTGAGATCTGGCGCGTAATACCGGAAACGGAAATCTCCGGGATAATTTTGAAGAAGCTCTGAGTGTTATGAACGGTAGCGCGTGTTCTGCTCTGTTGGAGCAGGTCGCCTGGGATAACCCTAGTCTGATCGCCTCGCTTGTCGTCTTGCTGCTGATCAGCGTGATGGTGATCGTGGGCAACTGCCTGGTTATCGCAGCGGTCTTCATCAGCTCCAAGCTCCGCTCTGTCACAAACCTCTTCATCGTGTCCCTAGCCGTCGCGGACCTCATGGTGGGGCTCGCCGTGTTGCCCTTCAGTGCTACCTGGGAGGTGTTCAAGGTCAGTCCCTTCTTATGTTTCCTATTAGAACGTTTCGAATCTCGTCTGATGGAAGCTCATTACGTGCTGCGAAATTCTTGCAACCAAAAGTCGCACTTGACGAACGCTATGAATTCGATGTAAGCGCGACCGTGCAGCATTTCGTTTTGCTTGTACCTAGTCACAGACGAGTTTTTAAACGCAAAACGCAACTCTGCATTGCATCTTAATGTAATTTATATTCAGTACATTTTCGAACTATTATCTTCAATTAAAAATAGTGACTAGGCTAAGAGCTTGATACTCTGGAGTCGTAGTTCGATTCCACACGGGCGCGAGAGATCTTCTCGCCTTCATAACGTCCAGACTAGCTCTGGGGCTTACCCAGCCATTTTGGGTACCGGTGGCTGATTCCTCAGGTACTAAAGCGGCAGGGGCGTGTGATGTTGGCCACTCACATTCATTTAGTGCCGAGGTCAAAAACAGTGGAGATAATACACCGCTCCACGATACATCTTCATAGCGAAGTGTTTAATTAATTAACCTAAGGTATAATGCTAGTGGGGTGGGACTAAGTCCCTTGTACTGCGGCTACTTCTGGCCTATTGTACCAGCCCCAGATGATAGGTGAGGGTGATTATGGAGCAATTGGTGGAATGAAGATTGGCAGGGGAAATCGAAGTACTCGTAGAAAACCTGCCCCAGCGCCACTTTTTCCACCACAAATCCCACTTGACCAGACCCGACATCAAACCCGGGCCGCCGCAGTGAGAAACCAGAGACTAACCGCTTGAGCTATGACGAGGCCCTAACCTAAGGTATAACTTTGCCTTTTATCTTCAAATAAGAACTTGGTTATTAAGAATAAATTTAACTGTGTTAGAATTTTTAAACAGACGCCCTTACATGTGTGAATTTGTTTATGATCCTATGATTTCTTTGATTCTGTTAGTACATTTTCCTAATTTTCATTCTAGTTTTGCGAAATGTGTGTCTCAGTCTGCAAGATAATGCTTATGTGTCATGTCAGTCGCTTATTTTTTCCAGAGACAATTACGGGTTGCTGGGAGCGAATTTGTTAATCGGTGGTCAGATTTCAGAAGAATAAATAGCCGTGTTCAGATATTCTTGGAATCAAAGTTTAAGAATAACTATTTTTTTGCCATCCACTCTTAATTGATGAATTCCTGAATAGTTCAGACCAAAAAGGAACTGCTTGTAAGACTGATACTGTATATTGCCAAATTTGTGTGTTTTGCCGTCAATGATCAGAACCGTTAATTAGTATAAGCGTATAATTCAGCCTATAATCATTTAGTTTTAATAATTAATATGTAACTTTTTATTGTCGTAATTTAATACGTTATTTTCAGTTTTCCATTTAATGACTTTATTTTGTTCGTTGAGCGATATTCAATTCACAGGAAAGATTTACCTTTATTCCTTGAATGGACAGACAGTTAAAAGTTTCTGAGGCTATCTGCAGGCCACAGTTTTCATATTCAGTACAGCAGAAGTGCGGTTGTTTAATTCTTTCTAAGTGCAAGGTATAAGAATGGTTGCTAAGAAGAGACTTCAGGATCAAGACAGCGCAAGAACCGATTCTTGTGAACACTTCTATGAAGACGTTATATTTCCATCTTTGAGAGACACAGACATAGACAGGGTCAAAGAAGGAGACGCTGTAGAAGTGAACTCCGAAAAGTGGACTGACTCTCCTCAAACACTAACTTTTACACCTGTAAATCACACGTTTCCGGGCACCCAGTGGGTCCAGACGAGACAAGACAAGACACTCCACGTTACTGAAGACTCTAGACCACCGAGCGATTTTATGCTCTCTTATTGTTTCGAGGACCGCCTCTGTGGTTTAGTGGTCAGAGTTTCCGGCTACAGATTCAGAGGTTCCGGGTTCGATTCCCGCCACTACCAGATTTTCTAAGAAGTAGTGGGTCTGGAACGGGATCCACTAAGCCTCGAGAGGATAACTGAGGAGCTATTTCAAGGAAACAGCGGCTCTCTTGTAGAAAACCGAGATTAAGGGTCGTAGGGATCCGTTGTTGGGGCACGCGGTAGCGTAGTTGGTTGAGGCACTATGCTACAACCCAGAAGGTCGCGGTACCAAATCCTGATGAGGTGGATTTTTTAAATTCACCAAATCCTGCCAGCCGCACTATGGGCCTGGGGTCGACTCAGCCTCTAACAGAAACGAGTACAAGGAATATTCCTAGGAGTAAAGGGCGGCCGGAGCGTAAGGCTGACAACCTCACCGCCATCTGCGAGCCAATTGTCTACAAAATGTAGGAGCCTCAACATCTCACAAACCTATGGACCTTCACGGCCGGTTAAAGGGATACCTTTACTTACTTACTTTAGGGATGCGTTTCGCTGACCACGCGACACACTCTATCCGCTAAAGTTGACACTAACTTCGCCGACAAGCGGCGGTCGCTCGGTCGGTATAGTTCGCTTGCCGACTAGAGGCCACGGAGTTTGTTTTATTGCTTCGAGCTGTTACGCGGAACTGAATTCCTGACGACTGTTCCATGTCACACTCAAAAACACGGAAGTAAGAAAGATAATGATACTGTTGTATCGTGCATTGAACTATATAAGTATAGATAAAATTAAGAGGTTTAAAGGGTTGTGGAATTTATGAAAGAGCTGGTGAAAGAAGCAGAAGTGCCTAAAATGTCTTTAGATAGGTCTATTTCATTTTCACTACCCCGTAAAAGAAGGACGTAAAAACTGCTGCTTGGAAAAGATCATGAATTTTTCAGGCTTTTTGCAGCCCTCATGGCTGACTTAAATAAAGAAATTAACACCCCAAAAGTGGAAGGTTAATTAAAAATAAATCTGTGGTAACCTCTAGAGCCTAAACAAGTATTTTAGGCACGCACTGTGAATAAATGTTCTATCCCTGGAATTTTAAATAATATATATTACGTCATGACGTGACTGCATAGCTTATTCCCATCGGGCCTCCTAGAACTTCATTTAAAAGGACACAATTCCCTTTCGACCGATAAAGGGTAAGCGTAGGCATGGGAAGTGCTCTCAATTATTGCTACATACGTTCCAAAAATATTGCTCACAGTTCTCGTCACCAGACCGTATCAGCTCCATTTCCACCTTCTGACTTCTTTACAAAAGTTAGCTTTGTTCAAAACGTGTTAAATTTTGATGAATGCCGTCTCTGGGTTGCAACTTCTTGTAGTTCGGAGACCGACTCTCATTTCGGAGGAATATATCACCTCAATCTTCAGGGTCGAGAAGTAAGCAAAGAAAGAAACCAACAGAAGCAGGTGGCAAGCTCCGCTGGTTTCTTACTTGGCTTGATTTACTATCCTGTAGATGTAGGCAGTAATGCTCTTCGAAATGCACTGCGTTAGAATCCAGACGACCGCTCTCTTCATGGCCAACACCGCAGGAGTCTCAAATCGAACATGTAAATGTTTGATTTTGTGATTTGTTTGTTTCATTGATGGTGTATGTACATTAATTAAAAATAGAGAATTTTAATTTATTCTTCTTCTAGCTCGAAGGATTAGACTCTGTGGCCTGCGTCCACTCATAGTTAATTCTGAAATTTGAATCGTGTAGACAGTCGGTAGGCCTCCTTGAACGGGGGATCAGTCCTGTCGGAAGGTTGCTACCTGTACAGGACAACACAAACACAGAAGAAATGCATACAGACATCCATGCCTCAAGTGGGATACGAACCTACGAACCCAGTGCTTGAGCGAGTGGCTTAGGTCGCTCGGCCACTGTGATCGGCTTAAAATTAATTAAATAAAGACAAGAGACATCTAACTTCAGTAGGTGACAGTGTTTTGCTGGTAGCCGATGTTTTCAGGGAGACTACGGCCATGAACTCATGTGAGAGGCAGCGTGTGGTGCTCCACTGCGCGAGGTTGTCATGAGCATTGCGACCGTCGCTGTGTTCCTTACGCCTGTGTTTCTTTACGAGATATTCGGAGGTCTCAGCGGAGACAACGCAATCTTGTCTGTGGACGCCCGGAAGGGGGGAAGGGCCGCAAACCAGGCATCCCAACACAATTTGATTCTAATAAAAATAAAAATTTGAATAAAGAATTAAATATAAAAAATATAAAGGTAAAGTTGCCACTGTGCTTAACTAATTAAGCACTATGCCATGAAGGTATAGGCTGGTGGATGTAGATTCACGTTTTCTTGATCTCGGCACCAGTTTGAGGTCAGCTTCACGCCACGAGCACTTCACCCCAGGGGAAAAACCCCCAAGTACCCATTGAATAGGAGACTGAGTTAGCCTCAGAGCCGGTCTGAACGAAATGGAGAAGAGAAGAAATTCTTTATTCTACCGAGAACCGATTTCTGACCTTTCTGCCGCCCAGCTCGTAGCCCTGAGGTATCCCGTTTTCAGCATAACAAATATTAATACCATAATCAAAATTTGTTTGAAAATGTATTTTTAGCCCATAAAATATTCTTAAAGAGCCGTTTAAACGCTAATCTATAATCAGCTTTTATAGAGTCCGCTCTTGGAAGACTTCCCAGTGGCTGCCATGTTCTCATACTTATGTACCCTTCAAATGTTGCATCTGAAGGGAATTGTAACAGCGGAACCTCGTGATTTCATTCAGCTTCTTAAATCACAGGCTTCATCAGCACCTTGAAATGATGAGCAAATAATTCCTTCTGAATCTCTCCAGTTACCATTCAAATTCATCTTAATATTTTGAGATTCATGATCTCTGCCTTAAATTAACACTATTAAATAATCGCTTATTTTTAGAGCAGTCGGTTTCGCGACTGGTTACGGGGTGGAAGTCGAAGTGTCGGAGTAGGATTCCCGGCAGGGACAAGATTCTGCTTTCCACTTCATCCAGACCTGTACTGGGGCCACCCAGTCTCCTATCCAAAGGGTATCGGGTGCTCTTCTCTCAAGGATAAAGCGGCTGGGGCTTGAAGCTGACCACTAACCTCTAATTAGTGCTGAGGTCAAGAATACTTGATTTATACAGCCATTCTCACACGTG